GACATTCGTTATATCAAAGGAATGTCCCATGTAGAAAGCGTGGGAGACGATGCCAGAATTCTCCTTTTTGCCAGTCATCAGAGCTTTGATTAAATGCAGTACAGAACTTTTATTTTACCGTTATTAATCGTGTATAAATTTCGGTTACTCGGTTGTTTAACCTCCATCAACTTCAAATTAAGATGAAAAAACAACAAAACTAATAAAGCCGATCAAATCACTCTTAACAGCTGCAAAAGGATGTGAATTATGAAGAGTGTCGGCGCTAAGGAACGAATGATCGCAAGTTCAAGCATTCTTCCTTACGGACTACAAGGAAAGAAGAAACAATGGCAAGTTTATCAAATTTTGAATATCGGTCTTGGTTCCTTTTAACGAATGGGAGATTTCGGCGCCCTTCTTTTAATGAACTGATGGTGCTCCGTTTTTATGTCGTCAGTCAGGAGTGTCTTATTTTAAAGGCACTATCTACAACCATGTAGAGTAGCGTATAGACTCTTGTTTCTCGCACAGAGTGATACATATTTTGTGAAATTCGAAAGGAAGAAGGGCGAGTGACCCGACGAGGGTTTTGAACTTGGGAACTCTCAGTTCTGAGTTCGACACCCTACCGACTGAGCAGCACCTGTCTGAAGCAAGGATATTTGTGAATAAGACAAGGACCGCTGTTGAGTGTAATCGAACTCCAGACTTGCGGAGTTCGACGTTGACCTCTTGGACGCTATGCCAACTCTACGAGAACCAATACTAAATGGTCAGACACAGCTCATCGATCTGTTTTTGCCGTGCAAGCCCAGTGCTCATGCAAATGAAGAACGACTCAGGTTAATTAACGCTAATTAATCAACTAAGTAATTAGAAGGCGATAAATTTAGCAGGAGAAGTTTTCAATCGGTGAATCGAGTCGAATCGAAAAAAAAGTGCCACATAACAGGAAGATGCCTGCTTTTTGGATTCCGCTACACTTTAATATCGCAAATCAATCAGCCAGCAAAGTTTAACATTAAGTCACAACAACAGGGTGTCACGGACTTCAACCAGCAACATTTTTTTCTCGTGTTCGGTCGCCGGGTAATACTTAGCATGAAACAAAAGATTCGGTTTCATTCTTACCGAGATGAAGCCAATAAACTGACCGTTCTGACTCCAGAACGTTTAAATTAATTAATGAGACTAAATTACTTCCAATCTTTCGGTCCGAGAGACATTACCCTTACATCAGTAATTAATACAGATTTTGCCACCGACAGAGCTGTGCGAATCATATGGTACCTGACTTTCATTTCTCTCTCGACCGTAACATTCTGTTCTATCCGTTACGTTAGGTATATATGGTTTTTTATGACGTAATAAATCTACGTTCCATAGTTGAAGTTTCGAACTATTCTGTGCTTCAGTTTAATTCATTTCATTATATTATGAGCAGTAATTAATTATCTTAATGCGAATATTTATTAGATTAAGATTTAAGACTGAAATTTGGACGTGGGTTGCTTGGTAGGTGGAATATCTGATTTACAACCAATTAGCCGTAGATTCGAGCCCTTGTCAGAGGTCAGTAGCCTTTTGTCATAATGTGGTTGATAATTCAGTGCCGTTCTGTGTGAAGGAAATGCTGCCTACAATGTAGTTCTGTAAATAATATTCGCACTGTATGATCATCGTCATTAAGTTTTCTGATGGAACATACTGTTCGTTCATTCGTTCTTTTCTTCACTAGTTCGTTCATGTGATTTCATTCATTCATTCAGTTTGTCAGCTGTTCACTTATTTGCACATTGCCAAGCAAGGTTAAAATTTTTAAAATGCTATTGGATAATGAACACATGGTTTCTGTTTTAGAAAACTTTAATTTTGGAAAAGTTGTGTGCAGGAATGGTGCCCTCTACGCTAAAATAGATGAAGGCGTATCTCAGTGGTTTCCTTTTAGCTGTGGATTTCATAGAGTATATGTGCTTTCGTTTGTTATTTCCTTTGCTAAAACTATTTTATCCACTTCCCTCCAAAGCATTCCTGAAAATCGCAAAGTCGAGGATCTCATACTAGAGCGGTGGTGTAATTCATGATATCCTGCAAGTTATCTGCAAACTTCGCACTATGGTTGCTTTGCGCTTAGCTGCTGTGTACTCTGCTGTCAAAATAAGGCACTCCTGACTGATATCATGGTAATAGGGATCAGCGACCCATCATTATGGTGAAAGTAAGAGGCCAGAAATTTTCCCATCGTGAAATTGTCAGAAACAGCAATGTTCAACTGATGCAAACTTTCTTTCCCTGAAAGTTGAAAGTTCGTGATATTGTGCAGTGCGACTATCAGCTGTTTCTCGGTTTTTTCTTTTTACCGATTCTTCTGCTTTCTTTATTTAATATCGGATTAAACCTCTAGTGTTGGCTTCCATGGCCTCAATCCTTGCTTTTGTTTATAATCTATTTTATCAGTCTTCAGGTTTTATCAGCTTCTTGAAACCCAGTGTAATGTCTCTCTGGACAAGAGATAGTTGGTTTTTTTGCAGCATGTCCAACCCGTGGCATTTCCCTTTCTTCGCTCTTCCAGTGATATATCCTGTTGTTTTTGCTCATATCTGTTCGTCTTTCTGTTTGTATTTTTTTATTCCCACGATACACCTTTTCGTGCTGCGTCGTGTAGTCTGCAGTTTGTGAATGGTTTTCAGACTTGAGGTCAACTTTTCTCATCCATAGGTTAACACTGAAAGCACACACTGTTCGAAAACTTTAAAGCACAGAGGCAGCTTCCCAGATTTGAATGAATTTGAATTTTCGGTCTTCCAAAATTGCTCCATACCGTTGTTGTTCTGTTGATTTCGCAGAATCGCTTCTTCGTTGCAGAGGTATTTTGTATCAGATAGACATAGTTTTGCACCTTCTTAAGCCTAAATCTGTTTACTTAAGATAGGTCATTTAATAATTTATTTGTTAAACATTACCTCAGTCGTCTTTTGGTTTATTTTCATTTTTGCTTTAGCTGTCCGATTCTTTAATGTTTTTCTCGTGAGCTTCAAAAGATCAGGATATTGTTCGCAAACCGCAGGTGACTTGCTTTACGCCCGTTTTTCTTCAGCATATGATTTTTTGAATGGAATATTCCGAAAACCTCGTCTGTGGTTGATGTGAAAGGAAGCCTCTTTCGATTCGATTAAGTTTTAGTACGTGGAATATAGTTCACAGAACATCACATTAGCAGAACCGCATTTTTGTAAATAATGGTAACGAGGTTTCCGTACATTTTCTCGATTTCCTCACTTCTGAAAGAGTCCGGTACTGCACGGATGTGCGCTGAGTCAAAAAACCTTCTCGAAATCGACGAATCCTGCTCAGAGAAGAGCTTATATTCCATTCTTGTCTGAATTACTTGTATCAGATCCATCTGGTGGTGGAGATGATCC